GGGAGAAGAGAGGTGGATTTATACTTTTCTCGGAGTAAGGGAATATAACAAAACCGACTGGAATTGGAACACGGCTCTCCGATTTTCAATTCTGTCACTGAATCTAACTAACGCCTTTATCCAGTGACAGGACCCAAAGAGTGTGGGTTCAATGCCTGGTTAAGGCAGTGGAGAAATTGGAGAGGGGAATTAAACAAGAGATAACTGATAACTGACATCTATTAGAGATGGCACGTGGAACTAGAACAGTCTACCCCAGTGAGCTAAATAAAGGTTTCAGTTCGACATTCCAACCACCTGAAGAAGCCCGTAGCGTACAACGGCCGAAACGTTGTAATAAATAAGGTGACAAAGACGAGGACAATAGTCCGAATAATGTAAAAAGTGCAACTAATAGTCATATTAATATTAACTTGACCTGTTTGTTTGTATCTTGACGTATTTAATTCAGAAGCAAACACACACACACACACACATATTCTCATATATATATATATATATATATATATGTGTGTGTGTGTGTGTGTGTGTGTGTGTGTGTGTGTACTAAAAGCTTAAAGCCGCCCTGTCGTGAGGTATTTAAGCTAGCTTCTATAGAGGTTTCTTTATCACAATAAACTACAGAAGAACTCAAAATTGATCACTGCATTTAAGTATTGCATTTATATTTAAGCATCCCTTTTAAAAGTTCAACAATAATTCTTCTGTGTTAATTTAAACACATTTTGATGTACGTAGGTCCTTATTATCCGTACAAGCAATTATATTTATTTCATAGCAAAAAGTTAAAATTTGAAGTTTATGATTAGCGTTTGTTCTGAGGAGTATAATTATGAGATGTGCTAATAATTTCAATAGATTTATCGAATATCTACCCCAAACGAACGATTTGGCGCGAAAATATAGAGCCGGTCAGTAAAATAAGTCCATTGAGCATTTATTGGATTATTGTATATACATATATACTAGTATCTGTCTATATTTCTGAGATGAGGTATTATGTACATTATTTACATTATTCGGACTATTGTCCCAAGATCACATGGCACAGTGGATAAAGGCGTTGGTTAAATCCAGTGACAGGACCCAAAGAGTGTGAGTTCAATACTCGGTTAAGGCAGTGGAGAATTTTCAGAGGGAAATTAACAGGTGATAACTGATAACTGACATCCATTAAACATGGCACGTGGAACTAGAATAGTCTACCCCAGTGAGCGAAATAAAGGGTTCAGTTCGGCATTCCAACCACCTGACGAAGGCCGGAGCGTACAACGGCCGAAACGTTGTAATAAATATGGCGACAAAGATGAGGACAATAGTTTGAATAATGTAAATAATGTACATGCATACTAGCTTAAAAGCAGCCCTGTCGGGCAGCATTTAAGCAAGCTCCTGTAGAGGTCTCTTGATTGGGCTTTTAGCACTGTACGTAGGGGGGAGGAGATGTGGTAGGCAACAATAAACTACAGAACTCAGAATTGATCACTGCATTTAAGTATTGCATTAATATTCAAAGATATTTTTTTAAAATTTCAACGATAATTCTTTAGCCTCAACTTAATTTAAAGAAAAGTTGATGTACGTAGGTCCTTACTTTCCGTACAAACAATTGTTTTTTATTTCATTGGCGACTTTCGCTGGATTTCGCAATTAATTTCGATTGTCGCCAAATTTATTTCCGAGCTATGAAAATTATTATCGTATACAGAAACTCGTCGCAAAAAATCACATGAAAAATCGCCGAAAACAATCGCAATAATGAAGAATTGAGAATTCAAAATTTCAGGATTACGGGTTCGGATCCGGCCCGGAATGTTTTTAATTTGCTCACCGAGTCGGCCTGATTCCAAAATGGTATGGTATGTTGGGCTACGGCCTCTAGGAGCAAAGTTGAAAAGTGTGACACATGGACACACTGACATTCGTATTTATTATATATATATATATATATATATATATATATGTGTGTGTGTGTGTGTGTGTGTGTGTGTGTGTGTGTGTGTGTGTGTGTGTGTAAAAAAACTTAGATATAACTAAAATATGTCTGTGATCGTACGAGAAATGTGGTTTGAACATGAAACGACCGTAAGCCTAGATTGCGTAGAATTGGCTTTTCTACTTGCTCCTCCTAAACTTCCATGTGGGAAACACATGGCATTGCTTTACCCGATTATCAACGTCGTCAAACCAAATTTAACTGTGCACACACAACACACACACACACACACACACACACACACAAAAAAAAAAAAAAAAAAAAAAAAAAGGATACAAATGCGCAAAACACATGCGCAGCACTCGACGTTTACGCAGAGTCAGTTAAGTGCCGTACGTGACACACGCTTAAGCGATCGGGTCTCTTTCGATTCATGACTGACTAGGCAGAAGATTAGGTTGCTGTTTGTTTCTGTGGGTGAAGAGATGGGACTATAATTTCCCGAAGGATACTTGCGCGTAAGTCAATGTAAGGAACCTGACTGGAATTCGAACCCAGGTCAAGATGACTGAATTCCTTATCGACATCAATACACACTCTCTCTCTCTCTCTCTCTCTCTCTCTCTCTCTCTCTTTATTGTCTGTTCATATCTATCTATCTATTCCCTATATACTGTTCATCATCTATATATATATATATTATATATATATATATATATATATCTATCTGTTCATATCTATTGTCATTCTGTTCATATCTATCTTTCTTATCTATTAACTATCTATCTATTTGTTCATATCTATTATCATTCTGTTCATATCTATTACTTGATATATCTATCTATCTATATATATATATATATATATATATCTATTCATATCCATCTATCTATCTATAACATTATGTTATCTATCTATCTATCTATCTTCATCTATCCATCTATCTATCTATCGTCTGTTCATATCTATTATCATTAACATTCTGTTGATACTATCTATCTATGTCTATCAATCTCAGTCTGTTCTCCATCTTTCTATCTATTAATATTCTGTTCATATCTGTTTATATATGTATGTATGTATGTATTCTATCTATCTATTTATCTATCTATCATTTTCTGTTATATATATGTATATTTATCTATCTATCTCATTCTGTTCTCTGTTTATTGCCTGTTCATATCCATTCTATTTCTTTCATGCACAGACACACGCACACAGATGCATAGTCGCGCGGATTCTTCTGATGTGTTTTAAGCTTTCTCTTACAATTACAATAAATCTTTTGTAACAAGCGTAAGTCTGATTTCGCTTCATCTTTTTAACTGGAAAAACAGACCCACACAATCACAAAGGTATTCGATAAAACTTAATGTAATTATACACGTTTATTGGTTACACATCCTCATCTCCCCTATTTAAGATAATGATATAATTCCTTGTTATTGAAACAGACACATCGTATTAACATCATAACGAAATATATCATCTGTTCATAGGTAAAGTCTGACGATTCATACGTTGCTTTCTTTTGTTTCATATCAGTTATACTTTGATAATATTAATTTTAATGATTGGTTAAGCAAAATTCTTTCTTATACGAGGCAATAGAATTAATTGTATACCTAAATATCGTAGATTATTAGATATTTCCTTATATGGAAACATTCAATACTTAATGACCGAGCAGCCATTACTGTTGGCTGGAATTTATAAAATTTTTCTGAATACAATTTTTTTCAGGAAAATAGGTTTCTCAAGTCCAGTAACTGTTATCGCTCTTTCCAGTATTGATGGGAGATTGATTCCTAACCTTTTATTTCGTGTTATCAATATCTTCATTATATAATTATTTTCTCTTCAAGTTACATATGATATCCATTTTAGCTGTTGCTGCTGCTGGTGGTCCACGAGTGAGGAGGTTCGAACAAGTGTGATCTTTGCTAAGATCCAAAGGGCTCAATTGCTCAAAGCCATTTTTAACCATTGAACAGAGAAAGCGGTTTTAACAGCTAACAGCTGATTTGTTTTATTTTAATTATAATGAGATGAAAAAACTGGAAGTAAACTTTAAATTCGGCATGAATTATTTGAAAAGGGAAAGAGACAATATGTTACAAGAAAAGTTTCTGAGAATATTCTGTTATTACATGCCATGGTGCATATAGTGTGGCACAAGGATGAAAGTAAGGGGTACCCAGGGAGGATAGAACTCACTACTCAGTCGTAATAGTTCTAACGAGACAAGCTTGCGAACCATTACACCACCTCCGGGTACCCGCCCTGGTCCATATAATAAATCACTACATTTTCATCTATCTATCTATCTATCTATCTATCTATCTATCTATCTATCTATCTATCTATCTCGGTCTGTTCAGATCGATCGATCTATCTATCTATCTTGGTCTGTTCAGATCGATCGATCTATCTATCTATCTATCTTGGTCTGTTCGGATCTATCTATCTATCTATCTATCTATCTATCTATCTATCTCGGTCTGTTCAGATCGATCGATCTATCTATCTATCTTGGTCTGTTCAGATCTATCTATCTATCTATCTATCTATCTATCTATCTATCTATCTATCTCGGTCTGTTCGGATCTATCTATCTATCTATCTATCTATCTATCTATCTATCTATCTGTTCAGATCTATCTATCTCGGTCTGTTCAGATCTATCTATCTATCTATCTAATCTATCTATCTATCTATCTATGCGGATTCAATATCTATTTATCGATTGGGGTTTCCTTCTTAAGCTTTTGTTTGAAGTAGTGTGAAAGATCAGCATTTTGATTATTTTCTCTTCAAGTTGCCTGTACTATCCATATTATTTGTTGCTGCTGTTGGATGTCTTCAAATGATGCGATTTCTGTTGCCTGGTACAATTTTTTGTTTGTGATTCTGTAGCGCCAGCCGCCAACATTTATTTACGGCTATATGACGCTGAGACATATGTTCTCCTACGATCACCGAAGTTAAGCAATATCAGGTGTTGTAGGTTTGGATGTAATGTATACATTACACCACCTGCTCATCCAAACTTACAGCACCTGATATTCCAAACCGGTCACCCATCTAGATACTTACCAGACTCATCGTTGCTTAACTTCGGTGATCGTAGGTGAACAGGTGTATATAGATATGAACAGAATGAGAATAGATATATAGATATGAACAGAATGGATAGATAGATAGATAGATAGATAGATAGATAGATAGATAGATAGATAGATAGATAGATAGATAGTGTTATGGAGTGATTTCACAATGGAGGCTTGTATTTGTACTAAGTCGGTCCAAAAAATAGGTTCGACGTACAAAACGGTAGAACTTGATATAATAGGTAATGAGGCAGAGAAATCTAGTCGTGGTCGCTGATACTTTACTATCCGACTAACGGTCGTCCGGCATCGACTGACCGACCGACCCACTGAGAAGTATTCAGTCACCCACCTCCCACGAGGGCATCATGTGGCACAAGGCCGGTTTAACGTGAGATCTCCGAGCCCGTGGGCTCAGCCAAAAATATGCCCATTTGAACCCGCATAAACGGGTTCAGTGTCGGTTTACCTCCCCGAAAGAGACTCCGCCCTTCGGCGTAGCCTCGTCCGGGTTCCTCCCCGCCCGAAGGCAGAGAGGTCAGCCGGTCGTCCGACTTCAGACTGAACTCAGACCAACTCACTGAGCGACTCCCCGTTACTCTTACTACTCCTACTTATTATAGGTGGGAGAGTCTATTAATTATAGAATAGGTGTGTTCCACTATAACAGATAGATAGATAGATAGATAGATAGATAGATAGATAGATAGATAGTATCAAGTAATAGATAGATAGATAGATAGATAGTATCAAGTAATAGATAGATAGATAGATATAGGGCCTAGTAATGAGAAATACATTACGAGCTCGGAATTGTTAATCGGAGGGCCGAATTTCTCTTCCCGTTGGGTTTGTTATAAATAAACATTTAGTTTTTGAAATTAACTGTTTATTTCATATTTCATCTATTTTTACATATTTAAAATGTCTTCCTTCTCACATTTTTCATTACTAGGCACTCTAGCCCCCCTCCTCCCCCCACACTACTTGAGTCTTAGTAGCATACAATCAAGGAGTTTGTCTCTGGATATCACTAAGCATCACCAAACCTCTACATGCCACTACTTGGGAAAGGTAATAATGCACCTCTTCTCATCCCAGTTATAAGTTAATTAGTAACACTTATATCACTAAGTATTTATCTCCCCTCAGAAAACAATTCTTACAATCTAAAAATATTTTCTAGCGTTAAATAAATTGTAATGACTTGATACACCGTAGAAAACTGTAAAAGGTTGATAATCCGTAGAAAACAGTTAAGGGTTGATAAGCCGTAGAAAGATGTAAAGGATTGATAATCCATAGAAAACTGGAAAGAGTTGATAATCCGTAGAAATTTGTAAAGGGATGATAATCCATAGAAAACTGTAAAGTGTTTATAAACCGTAGAAAACTAAAAGGTTGATTAGTCGTAGAAAACTGTAAAAAAAAATTGATAAGCTGTAGAAAACTGTAATGGGTTGATAAGCCATAAAAAAACTATAAAAGGTTGATTAGCCGTAGAAAATTATAAAGGGTTGATAATCCCTAGAAATCCAATCAATCAATAAGTTTTGAATAAGGATGAATATGACGGATCCAACTAGTATTGGAACTCGGCTCTCCGATTAACAATTTCGACCCATTATCCATTACGCCACCCGCACGTGTTACAGCAGCTTTCAAAGCGGTCACTCATCTAGGTACTGACCAGGCTCGACGTTGCTTAGTAGATTTTCGGCAAGCTTTCATCATTTTACAGTTGAAATACTACGATGTAACCTTATCACTCTTTGGTACTTCGATTTCACGAATTTAAGCGCAATACTTGATTGGCAGTTAGGTCACATAATTTGTTGAAATTGCTAGTTGTAATCATAAATTCTATGCTAATAGTTTCTTCTCTTGCACTTCTCGCTTGTTGAAATGATTTTTTTTTAAATTGACGCTACACATTCTAGAGAAAGTTGTCTTGTCCTTGTGTTTGTATCTATTTTACGTTAGGCATCAGTTCATCTTGGCGGACATTCTTATTGGAGAGTCGATCTTACATCAGAAGCGGAACGCTAAACTATAAATATAGATAAGAAACAAATAGAGATAGATAACAAAAAGAATGGAACGCTATTTTCAACGTTCGATATCAGTTTCTATGATCGTTTTTGCATTTCAGTGTCAGGTAGGTGAGGCTTGATGAAAGATAAATTGATTTCATGCTCATTTATGGAAGAAGTTATTTCTAGGATGGTGGCAGGCGAAATCTAGAACCCTTAGAAATATATCAAAGTTTCTGCGTTTTCCCCCTTCGTGTCTGAAAAGACCGAGCCTAAACATCGGGTGGCAGGGTAGGGTGCAATTCAATGGTTTCCAAATTTTTCAACAGCATAGAACACGGAAGTATCATCAACCATATTAAAAAAAATAAAAATAAAAAGTAAATGATGTATATTGCGTCTCCTCTTTTTCCTTCCATCCCCATCCAGACGTCAGCCGCAGATTTAAGATTCTCTCTGTCTTTATCTATCTATCTATCTATCTATCTATCTATCTATCTATCTATCTATCTATCTCTTTCTCTCTCTCTCTCTCTCTCTCTCTCTCTATATATATATATATATATATATATATATATATATATATATAAAGAGAGAGAGAGAGAGAGAGAACAATTACGACTGAGTAGTAAGTTCGATCCTCACTGGGTGCCCCATACTTTCGGCCTTGTGCCACGTCTGAGCTACGCTTGGAAAATCACTATATATATATATATATATATATATATATATATAGAAAGAGAGAGAGAGAGAGGGACAGAGACAGAGACAGAGACAGAGAGAACGTTAACTGTGGCTGAGGTCGAGGGGGATGGAAGGAAAAGGAGGGGACGCAATATACATTTGCACACACACACACACACACACACACACACACACACACACACACATATATATATATATATATATATATATATATATATATATATATATATATATATATATATATATATATATTCGAAACTGCCCTCCCAGTCGGGGACAAGTCATCGTGGCCACTTCAGAAAGAAGTATTTTTTCACGGTTTTCTCTTTGATAACATCATGTCACGTGATTGTCTTATCGTTTGCCATAAGCCACCCGAGCCCCGCCGAATCCTTTTTTTTTTTTTTTTTACCCATACAAGAGCTTCTATTCAATGATGTAGAGAAAAAGATTCAATCCCTGTTTTATTCCCGCTTATTTATGTGTTGGCGAAAAATAGAGTTTTTTTTTTGTTTTTTTTTCCATTTTTTTTTCTTTTTTCGTAATCAGTCAACACATTTAAATATAAACTGAAATATGGTATCGTTGTTTAAAGCGTGTCATAAAATAGGTTTTATAGACACAGAAAAGTAATTATAATCCATACACCCCCCTCCATGGCAACAAAACGTATTTGCGATTACCCATCGATGTTTAAGCCGAATTAAAAGCCAGGACTAAGGAAGCTGATTTTCAAGATAGATAATCCCTATCCTCTTGGAATAGCAATGCAAAACGATCCCAAATCCACCCAGTCAACCGCTACTTTGTAAAACCAACTCCCAAGGGGATACTTCCCCGATCAATACAATATTAACATATTCAGGTCTCGGCTTAACTGTTACCTTACCCACATATCCCTATAAACAGCGCCTTATACCACTTACTTTATAACGTTCTACCTCGAATGGCTCTTGGGCCTTGTACAGGGTGAACATTATTGTAAAAAAAGAAGCATTGTCTCCCTTTCAGCCAAACATTGTCATTACACATTCGATAAAGGCGTAGGGTAGTGCTTTACGAAGCGAGTCTTGTTGACCACTTTGACGTGAGTTCGAACCTTACTGGGTGCTCTATACAAAACAAAATCGACATGAAATAGCCCAACAATTGACATGTCGTAAAATCAACCAAACTTAAGCCTTTCAGCATGGTTTAATGGCTAGGAGGGCTAATTCAGTTGACTATTACTACAGAGTTGTGAAGTCGATCCTCATTGGGTGCCCCATGTAAACATTTTTAATTTATATAATCCAACAAGGGTTAACACGTAAAATCAACAAATTAAGCATTTCCGCATGATAGAATGGTTAGCGAAGTTAATCCCGTTGACCATTACTAGTGAGTAGTGAAATCGATCCTCATTGGGTACCCCATGTAAACATTTTACATTGTATAACCCAACAAGAGATGACATGTCGTAAGATCAACCAACTTAACAAATTAAGAATTTCAGCATGGTGTAAAGTTTAGTGAGGCTAATCCAGTTGACTATTACTACTGAGTAGTGAAGTCGATCCTCATTGGGTACCCCATGTAAACATTTTACATTGTATAACCCAACAAGAGATGACATGTCGTACGATCAACCAACTTAACAAATTAAGAATTTCAACATGGTGTAAAGTTTAGTGAAGCTAATCCAGTTGACTATTACTACTGAGTAGTGAAGTCGATCTTCATTGGGTGCCCCATGTAAAATTTTGACTCATATAACCCAACTAGGGTTGACATGTCGTAAAATCAACCAACCTACCAAATTAAGAATTTCAACATGGTGTAAAGTTTAGTGAAGCTAATCCAGTTGACTATTACTAATGAGTAGTGAAGGATAATCCGGTTGACCAATTTTACATTGAATAAACCCCCAAAAGTTGACATGTCGTAAAAACCACCAACCTAGCCTAACCATGAAAAAGTGGATCAAAAATTCCGTAGTCTGAATTCAGCTGAATTTTCATCTGAGATTTTTTAATGCATTAGGTAATCATTATTAGCGAAGAAAAAAAAACACACGATTTATGTGCATTGCCAAAGAATTATATTATGTTGAAAAATAAATATTTTTGTGTACCTTTTTATCATTAGCCTTACTGAGGTATCTCTGGAAACCACTTTACTATTTGATATTTACAAATGCATTAACGGGTGTAAAGAGATGGCAAGAGTTTTTTTTTTTTAATTATATGCAGTCAATATTTTTTTAATTATACACAATCATTTTGATAATACACGGTCAACCATTTTAAGAATGGCGGACATGCCTTTTGGTGGCCCTGAAGCTTGAATAGATATTGGGGCCCCTTCACAACCAGCAACAATAGAATCAAGGTTCCAGCTGCCCAAATGTAGGCTATGAATAGATTCGGGAGAGTTCAATGAGCCTATACAGGTGGGTGTTCAGACACTAAAAGCCCCTATGAAAATTTTGAAATTTGACCAATTGCAGGGGAATTTTAAGAAAATATGAAATAGATATTAAAGCGTATTGTAAACCGCCAACTGAGATTAGGGAAGACCTGATACTGTATTTTAATAATAGACAATCAATCACGTATAATAATATACAAGCAATCATGTTAATAATACACAATCATTTTTATAATATACAATCAATCAGTTTAAAATTTTTTACAGTAGTGTTTAACTTGTACAAGGTCCGAGAGCCACTCAAGATACAGAGTCAAACAGTAAGAGGTACAGCTTATGCAGATATGTGTGGAAGATAACGATTGCAGTGATCGGCGAAGCAGCCTCTTGGGTATCGGTCCAAGGCAAGCAAGATCGTAAAAAGAAAGTGCTTGGGTAGACCTTACATCTCAGCAGGAGGATATGAAAGGTATGAGGGTGGTTCGTTACAATGCACGCAGCACGGTGCGTCTTAGCCGTGAAGTTTAGAACGTGGGGGGGGGGGACTAAGGAATGTAGTTTGTCTAAAGACTTTTCATGGAAATAGCAATAGAGCAGAATGAGGCTTGCGACGTCTCACCTGAGAAAGGATTTGTTGAGTGGAAAATAATTAATTCGTTGCCTACAAGGACGCAGAGACGCTTTTGGACATTCTCGAGAGTGGAAAGTAAAGAGTGGGCAGCTCCCGTCCATGTATGGCAGCAGTAGTCTATTTTCGGCCCGATCTGGCTCTTGTTAGGATAGAGGGTAGCAGGAGGAGGGAAGTACTATTAATATACAATCAATAATTTTTAATATAATCAGTTTTATGATAAACAGTAAATGGTCTTACTATAATTCTACTTGTTCCTCTCTTGGTTAGCACGACCGTTACGCCTTGCCAATACCTAATAAATAATGGACTATTGCGTTTTGATCGTGTGGAAAGAAGGAAAACGACGCTACTCGGTTTCAGTGAAAGAAAGAAAGAAAGAAAGAAAGAAAGAAAGAAAGAAAGAAAGAAAGAAAGAAAGGTAAAGCAAAGAAATAATGGAAAACCAAAGAAAGAATGAACGGTAAAGAAAGAAAGAAAGAAAGAAAGAAAGAAAGAAAGAAAGAAAGAAAGAACGGTAAAGAAAAGAAATAATGGAAAACCAAAGAAAGAAAGAAAGAACGGTAAAGCAAAGAAATAATAGAAAAAGAAAGAAAGAAAGAAAGGTAAAGCAAAGAAATAAATAATGGAAAACCAAAGAAAGAAAGAAAGAAAGAAAGAAAGAACGGTAAAGAAAAGAAATAATGGAAAACCAAAGAAAGAAAGAAAGAAAGAAAGAAAGAAAGAACGGTAAAGAAAAGAAATAATGGAAAAAGAAAGAAAGAAAGAAGGGAAGAAAGAAAAAAAGAAAGAACGATAAAGCAAAGAACTAATGGAAAACCAAAGAAAGAAAGAGAGAAAGAATGGAGCGAAGATAGACATGTCTAACGTCTGTTTCAGTGAAATGAAAAAAAACTTGCCAAATTCAAATCTTTTCATTTGTACCCACTTACTTCTTAAAATAACGACCAGCATTCATATTTAGGATTCTTATTGCAATATTTTATTAAAGTTGTTAAACTCAAATATTTAACGATGGAATTTCTGCGGATATTTTATTGTCGTAGAACTGTTCTTATTCAATCATTAACATAAGAATTAAGATTCATCAGAAAATACAAATAGGAAAACCATGAAATTTTCATGGCATTTCTAGTTCAAAGTAATATGCAGCTAATCATTTTTACAATATACAGCACATATTTTTAATCATACAATGTCAATCTTTGAATTATTATAGAGTGAATCCGTTTTAATTGTATACAGTCAATCATTTAAAATAACATGCAGCCAATCATTCTAATAATACACAATCAAAAATTTATAATAATATACACACACTTGTGCAAATTAATTGAAACAACTGCTTTAGTTTCCTTTCTTTCACCATACAGTCAATTTCAGAAGCACTGGAGTAACAGAGTGCAATCAGCTTCCATTTTTTTCTCGGATTGGATCATTTGCAGTGATGTCCAGTAATATGAATCTATTTTCGGGGTGTATGATGACATTTGTTTGGCCTTGAAACATATTGCGTAATCCGTGATTGCATCATATTTTCATCACGCTCAGACACTATTGTCTCGACTGTCGATTAGTTGTCCTATAGCCATTGTTTGTGATGGGCGTTACTCCATGGAAGCGTACGAAAAATTGTAACGCTGCACGGACACAATGACAAGCCTTACCAGTGAGCAAATCAAAGTACTATCGACTGGCTCGGAAACTCTCCTGATTTAAATCCAGTCGAGAATCTGTGGTCAACCTGCAAGGAAAGACTTCGTGGAATGTACATACGAAGTACTAAGATGTGCACTGGGTCATGTTTCATTGAAAAAATACGAAAGAAAGCAAATAATAATGTTTAAAGCAAATAATAATTCGTTTTGTTTCAATTAGTTTGCACAAGGGTGTAGATAATCAGCTTTAATAATATACAGACAATAATTATTAACAATATACAGCAAGCTTTTTAATATCGTGACTGTTATAAAGTACAAGGCTTAGTGCCTGGTAAATTAGAGCGTTGGTTTATGAACTTGGTGATATAGTAATTGTGCGTTCAATCCCTGAACTGGGCCATGTGAACTTCGACTTAGTGGAAACGTACTGACTAATAATTGAGTAGTACTAAATAAGAACTAGACGAGATATCCTGTGATATTGGCAATGGTACGAGAACAATTTACACCCTTAGATTAAATAAAAATATCCTGCAGGTTACCTGGATCGACAAACACCTGATGAAGGCCGGAGAGCACAACAACCGAAACTTTGTGAAAATAAGAAAAAACAGGAATAATGGTCCGCATGTAACATCCGGTTCACACTCCTCCAGTGAAATTTTATTTACTAATTTTTATTCTTCTCAATAGTAGATAGATTAGCTTATCGTCCGGCTCACACTCCTTCCCGGTCTTTTGGTCAGGAGTAGAGGTTTATCACTTGATTAATGTTTAGGGTTAGGTTTGCGGTTCCTTCTAAAGTCTTTTCATTCTCTTTCCCTCCCAGTAACCACTTGCGTCTTAGTGGAATTATCGCCTTGCTTAGGGTGAATTGATTTTAAAAAATGCCAATAAGATTAACTGCTTATCCCAGTAATTTGTTCTGATATCCTTTCAGGTAAACCATATGTAATTAATTTCTGAACACCCTAAATAGATGAAGAATCCATATCGCCATAATTATCTCCCCTTACCATGCATTGGCAACAGCAATGGTATATTGATTATATTAATTGTGAATATTAACAGGTCAATTTATAATGCAGGGATACAAAAGCTCAAGCCTTTACTCGTCACGGTAACAGTAGCAATACAGTAAAAAGAAAAAACTCGATTTAAAGAACTATTTGCCAGCACAGTGCGTTTCTTAAATCCGATAAATCTCTAATTTCGTAACGAGTTTTGCAGATCAACGTATTCAATGAACATCGATTTGCTAAATCCAAGACGACACGAAAATGATCCATGCCGTATGAAACTGGATAAAATATCAAATAAAACAGACGGACGACACTTTACTTGTTCATACTAAGCGAACTTTTAGGAATTGTGTGTTTAGATATAATCTTCACTGTAATTTAATTTGAACTCGTAACCGAAGCTTAAAAAAATTCTAAAATTTCACACGTAAATAATTATATAAATTTTGACGGGTACTTTGCTAACAGGTTTAACAGTATTGTGTGGCCGTGTTGCTGTGTACTTCGCTGAATGCCACTCTTACTTTGATACGTATCCGTTGATTTGTCTCCGGCGACCCCGTTCTGCACCAATCTTGTACCGCCTCATTGTGTTTCAGTATACGCATGAATATCGGTGAAGAACTGTCGAAGATCAGGCTTGATACCACTCTTTCCTGGCTATGCTTGTGAAAAACTAGTCACCGGTAAACTTAATTAACAAACATTAACAAGTATGGTACTATGATTGATTGAGAATACATAAACAAAAGAGATTTCAAAAAGTTTCCCCGTATAAGGAATTCTTAAGCTGGGTAGAAAAGGTTGTCTGTTATGGTTGCAGTTATGGCTTAACAGCCCAGAGTCGTTCAAATATTTAAATGAAGGCAGTTGATCGATGGAGTTCAAAAAGCGGCGTATGGATCAGATCTTCAGCTGATTGAGGTACCATGGTCATCCGGTAGGATGTTGGTCTACGAGCGGCGATTTTTCCTCTCTTTCGGTAACTGCTTTTAAGGGAGTGCGAACCCCAATTGCACTGCTCTGACTGACTCGCTAATAATAATGTTTGACCAATGGTATTGGCTCGCCAATAACAATGGTCTTATGCCATATGCCTCGAAGAGGAGGAAGGAGAGCTCCGAATAATCCAATAATTGGTGGTCCAATCTAAATAATGCCCAGTGTCGTAATAATGTCCTGTGTATCGGGGGGGGAGACGACAAGCTCCATCCCAGTCCTCTTGTCATTGGCCGGCCAGTAAAAAAAAATACTGGCCTTCTACTGATCATACCCACCTTGAACATTTTCCATGTTCCAGAATCTCACCCTTATTTGATCTGATTATCACAGATGTGATCGTCAGCTCCATCTGAAAGTGTGTCATATCCCTGATGAAAACAAACCTGACCTGTAAAGATTTACTTTGTGTCACTGATTTCAACGAATAATTCCTGTATCAAATGAATACAATACTTAAGTTAAACAGACCTAAGACTGTACTTAACGACCAATCCCACCCAAGTTTACAATTTCACCTCTCGCACTTCTCCATAAGTGACACGAACCAGAAAATTCATGGTATTGCATTGTTTTAGCATGAAAAATATTTTTCTTTCTTTAGAAATAAAAAGTAGATCGCCAGTCAACCTTTGATACCAGTCAAGGTGTCATGATTGGTTTTTAACATCCTGTTGATATTTTCGATACCTGAGTAGGTTGTTGTTTATTTTGTTTTTTGTTTTTTTTTATTTATTGTCAAGCTCCCACATAATTTAATGAATTCGTTGTTATCTAACGCACTTTACACTTTCTCAATGTTTAATTTGTTAAATCCGTAGATTTTGATCTAAACCATGTAATGTACGAAGCTTAGGTGAATGATAGATGCAATCAAGTAAATTTTGTTAAATTCAAGACAATCAGCACGCAAAAGGCCAATGTTACGTTAAACTGTCTAAATAAAAGAATCTTACATACTTTTCTTTGCTCATATTGGAAGGATTTTTTTGGAAGTGACGCTGTACATGTAATCTGCACTGAAATTTAACTTTATTCACATAACCGTGTCTTAGAAGTTTTCCAAAGCTTCATCCGTCAATAAGCCTAGCAGATCTGAAGGATAATATAAATATTGACAGCATTCTTTTTATTTAATGGTAGCCATTTTATTTAAGGGTAGCCTTCTCGTTAGTTTAGAGAGAAGTTTAGAGAGAAAAGGAGGAGAGAGAGAGAGAAATAGATAAGAGCTTTAAAGGTTACCGCAAATGCCTTTCTTGTTTAATTTTAATTCTTTTTATTTTTGTTTTTATCTTCTATTTTTATATTTTATTTTATATACTTTTTTTATCGGGACTCATTACAAGAATATTTTGGGAAGTGATGCTATACATGTAATCAGCACTGAAATATACCTTTATATACAGGGATAATATAACGAATTGATTTTTTTGTCACCTGTCTGGATTTGTTTCAGTTTTTTGCTTCTTTTTCTTTTTTCTTTTTTTTTTTTGTCTTTTTTTGTCAACAAAATTTAATGAAAACGGTGTTACCTAACACACTTTGAAATTTCTCAGTTTTCAAGAAATAGTTTCCGCTTTGCCCGATCTGCAACTGATGTGCTCACAGCCATATCTGAATTTGTTTACCAAGCACTTCATAATAAAAAAGCTAGTGCCGTAGCTCTATCTATCTCTAAAGGGTTTGATAGGGTTTGGCATACTAGCTTCTTTCGTAAGCTTCAGGGATACGGTATTTCGGGACGATTATTTGACTTAATACAATTATTCCTGTCAAACCGTGTAATGAACGTCGTCCTTAACGGATTGTCTATTCTCACGAATGCAGGTGTTTCCCAAAGGGTTCTACAATGTTTCCTGAATCCTACAGTGTCCCTTAAACGATCTCCCCGATGCCATCAGTTCCCAGGTAGGCATCTATGTAGACGACACTAATATACCTAAATAGCAAATCTGGTGTCGCTGAAAAATTAACCTGGCCGTTGGTCTCGAAAAGGACCTTCAATTGCTTGCTGACTGGGGCAGGAAATGGCTACATAACTTTAATGCCTCAAAGACAAAACCGCTCTCTATTACCCACCACAGAGAACCCTCCCTGCCTCCTATTAGAATGTCTAATGTTCAACTCCACGAGAGCATCTCTTTGTGACTGTTTGGTCTCACACTGTCCGATGACCTGA